GTTCAAAGGGACAACCGAGTTGTGTACGACTTAGAAGGATCACTGGGGAGTCTAACTCCTACCCATTTCTTTGATGAAATAGTGATGTCTGCAGTGTTTTAGATTAAGTAATACTTTTAATGATTCTTATATCTAGGTATACCTAGTGGATATGGCAGGATACTCTTCAAAAGAATCACCTTTATGAGTGTGAACTGGGCCGGTTCTATGAGATTTGTGAAGGGCTACAATTCTCTAGAGCACTCATAAAAGACCAGGTTGTTCAGGGCCAAAATGAACACAATAGTGAGAACTAAATTGTGTTTGGGGATATACTATGTGAGTTCTATTGTCTTGGTCTACACAAACGGCTGAACAATTCAAGACATCATGTTCACTGGTTAGCTAGTAAATCCGATAGTGTCTCACAAGGGAAGGTTCAAAGCCAAAAACTACCTATCCTTTGCAAAATATTTCTAATTTCTGTACTCTCTAAAATTAGATCATGTTGTTGCATTTTCTCTCCGTCAAATTCCATTCATGTGGGGGATTGTTGGAAAAATTAGTTTTATAAAGTCTTATTTTGGGCCAACTTTGAGCCCAAAATTGAGTGGGCCCCGAACATCTTTTGGGGCGGATCCGAAGAGGTGACATGTTCCTTGCCGCGTGGCAAGTCACACGGTGAAGACGGTTCATCAAAACCATTTATGAGTAAATGGGAAGTTGACGTCATTTTCGGGTTCGAGGAATGGATATTTAAAGATTTAAATGTGGGTTTCCTTTTAATGGATTGTCCCACATTGAAACTTTAAGAGAGCTTTTTTGTGTATATAAGTTCTAGACTACAACACTTGAGTTAGGCCCCAAGGGGCACCGCAAGTTTGTAGAAGGGAGGAGCTATGGACAAAGTAAACCTTAGCCCAAACCACCACACATGGGCCGCCGCTGTCTGTCCGTCCGGTTGAGCCGTGCCGTGCCGTACCGTGCTGGGTCAGGCGTAGGTGTGGGTTATGGATCGGGTCGGTTCTAATATTAATTTTTTGAACAAAATTCTTTTGAATTTATTTCAAAAATTATTGCAGGAATTTAATTCCAAATTTGTTTTTTGTCCAAAATTTGTGTCTCTTCTATATTCCACTTCAGTTGCAAAATTCGAACAAGTTTTTTAAACTGCCGGATAGATTCAAAACTATCCAAACAGTTTTTTAATCTGTTATATTTCGGACAGAACTGCCCAGGCAGTTGCAGGTTCTATACAGTAACTGTATATGTTCAGTTACAGGTTCTAATCTGTCCAGTTTTCAAACAGTACCTGTTCATTCAAATTTCGGATCTGTTGAAGTTTGATTTCACATTATTCTTCATATTAGTTATTTATAGAAAAATTCAGAGAGTAATAGAACACAAGGTTCTAGTTCGCCGAACAAATTTGTTTGGAGTGCTACTACAAATTTGTGAAAATCATTATATCCTGGGAGATAGACGCTACTTTACCGTAAGCACCGTAGCGCGGCAAATCTGTCTTAAGGACAGAGTGTCACACATTCGACTTGGTCTTTTATTTTTCATTCAGTTCGATAAAATAAATTCTATAAGTTATTTATTTTATTTTGTTTGATTTAGTTTCAATTTATTTTATTTACACAAAAGATTGTTCCAACACTAACATCATTAGTTTTCTAAAATATTCAAGAATACACTCATACTTTCACTATCTTCTAGAATTCTCTAAATTATTTTAGTACACAGTAGAGTTTTCTATACTTTTCTAGAATGCTCTAGAACCTTTCGAAACCTTATAGACTTGTCTAAAATTCTCGAAGCTTCTTCAATGTTTTGAATTCTTTTAGGATGTTATAAAATCTTCTCAAGTCTTCTAGATTTATGTGGAAGGAACAAGCAGTCATTATGTTTTGTTGAGCATAGGAAAGAGCAGACTGGGAAATCGTGTCATTAGAGTGTGTAGGATACAATCATTCATCAAATCGTATAGTTATGATTATGGTTGAGCACTCATTCAGCCGATCCACTTAATCCGACTCCATCCGATCTCAAATAGGCAATTTCAATATAATGTGTGAACGGATGCATGTCTAGCAATTACAAAAAAAAATTGTGCTTTGATCGATACATAAAACTAGGAATGGTCATGGGTTCAATAGTCCGACCAACTTAGATTGATATTTTTAGAGCTTGGCATAAATGTTTAGCCCATAAAACTTTGCTAGGCAATGATTTTGTATCCATTTAATTTTTAAATTGAGCTTGAAATAATAAGTTTTGGCTCCGTCCTTTTATAAAGATTTTTTTAATTTTTTTTATTAATTACAAAATAAACTAGAAAAATAATAAACGCTAAGAAATTATATATATTCATTCTAAAAAAATTATATATATACATATTTTTAGGGATTAAATGAGAACATTTATTAAAAGGTCATATTTATTTTGTAATTAAATTTTGTTAATGTTTTAAATATAAATAATTATTAAAACCGTCTAAATATAATAGTCCATCAAGACTTAAAAAAAAAACACATACTTGTTGGGTTAAGCAGGCGGGTTTGAAATTTAAGAGCTCTTTTAAGATCGAGTTTGGAATGATTCAATTAGACTAGATGTCAGGTTGAATTCTATTTACACTTAAAAAATTATTAAGTACTTCAAATTTCTAAGTACACCTTGTTTAATTATTTAAAATTTTATTTTATTTTCATTAGCCCCTATTATGTTTTCCAAATTACCCTCAAGGTAAACCCAAATAATAAATAATAAACAAATTAAATTATTTCAAATCTTTTCAATATAGAAAATAATTCTCAAATACAGGAGGAAAAAAAAAGACCAAACTTATAAGCACATAAGCATTATAAATACAGAAAAAATCAAACTTTTACATAAGCATTATAAAACTTTTCAATACAAAAAAAAAAACTTTTACTTTATAAATTATCCATAAGAATACTCATGAAAAAATAAAAACTTAACTTATAAGCACATACGCATCAGGCACTAACAAGAAAGAGTAGTTCTCAAATAATATACTATTTAAATGACAAAATAAGAACAACTCCAATAATATGTTATTGTTAATTTAATTAATGGGCCCTTTAATTTTTGTCAAAAAAATGATATGGAAAATAATTGATGGCGCTCTACAAAAATTGTGAAATCCCTTTATATGAATACTTACATCATTTTTGATGGGTTACTTCAAAAAACTATTTTGATTATTACTATCATCCATTATTTGATTTTGTTCAAACTTTCTTCTAGGGTTTAGGGTTTTAAATTAATAAAAAACAATGATGTTGATGATGATAGTGAGTTTTAGTAAGGTGGATTGAAGTTTTGGAGGAAGGAAGAAGAAGAAGAAGAAGAAGAAAAAAATGATATAGAAAATAATTGATGGTGGTCTACAAAAATTATGAAACCCTTTTATATGAATACTTACCTCATTTTTTATGGGTTGCTTCAAAAAATTATTTTGATTATTACTCTTATTCATTATTTGATTTTGTTCAAAATTTCTTCTAAGGTTTATGATTTCAAAATAATAAAAAACAATTGATGATGATAGTGAGTTTTGGTAGGGTGGATTGGAGTTTTGGAGGGAGGAAGAAGAAGAAGAAATAACTTTAATCTCTTGGGAAAGAAGAGACATAGATTTAAATAGGAATAGTTGATTAGGGTGTGCCATGAGAGGAAAAAAATTATTTTGGAATTTAATATGTGTTGTCATTATTAGTAAATTCATATTAAAATATATTAGAAATTTAAATTTATAAATTTAAATTAGGCGTACTGAGACATATTTTAGGTTCAAATAGAATCCCCGTCAGGTTGGGATGATATTATTATATAGTGCAAGTCCAACTCAAAGTTGGCCCGATTAAACGTTTGTCCACCCTTATGCAAAGCCCAACCCAACCGCATGAAATTAGAAATTGTTCATAAATATTGATATATGTATATATTATTTATTTGTTCAATAAATAAAGTATTGAAACCATGCTTATTACATTTTAAAAAATGGATAAATTACAAATACATCCCTTGAGATTTGCTGAAAATATGAATTGCCCCTATGGTTTGGAAAATTTCAAATAATTCCATGTCAGAATTTTTTATTTAATAGAATTAATTGAAAATGTGAAATTTCTAACTGTTCACCTATACAATAATAAAATTATCTAAATTATTAATTAAAATAAAATTTTAACATTATTTAAAACTATTAATTAACTTGATGATTTATTAATAAAAGGACCTATTTGTTATGAAATCAGAAACCTTAGGAGGCATAATGTAATTTTTAGAACCACAGTAGTGATTTGTAATTTAAGTAAATCTCAGGGGGTGTGTTTGTAATTTACCCTAAAAAAATAGAACCCTCACCCCCTCATTGTTCAATTAAAAAAGTTATAATTTTTTTGTAAAGTAGAATTTGTTCACTAAAAAATTAAAGGCATTCTTTTCTTTTTTTTTTTTAATGATTAGGATTTGTTCAATCCACCACCAACCCAATCTACCCAACCAATTTAATTGATTTTGAAATTATGAGTGATCAAATGCGAATGAGATTTTCTCAATTCAAATCCCATTTGGTTAGATGGCGATTGACATAATACTTGTCTAACCCCAACATGTAAGCACGCCTAAGTATGACTATAATATCATTATAATTGTAAACAATTTAGTTTTTTTTTTTTTTAATGGGTTGGGTTTCTTTCCGGTTCAAGCCCACCACATGTTCTGTTTTGATAATTCGAACAGTTCATTTTATAGAATGCTTTGCGTATATTATTGGCGCAAAAAATTAGATCAATTCAATAATCATAATCTTTTAAATTTATCCTATTTATTTCCAAAAAAATAGGCAAGACATATATTTTTGAAAATATACGGCTCTGTTTGATAGAGTTCTAGAATCCTAGTTCCATCCCTTGCCTTGAGTGTCGTGTTTGGTTAGTGCTTTTTTTTTTTTTTTTTTTTTAGCACCAGACAAAGAACCATATATATTAACCATAGGATAAGGAGATTACAGACCTTGCAAGTTTATGTGCTAGTTCAACCAACACTCTATTCACTTTAGTTACACATAAGAAGTGAAAGGCAAAACTTAACATCAAAATATCTTGTATCACTACATCTACCTCCCAATCAGAACAATATTTTTGTGCACAGCTATCAACTAAAACTTTACAATCAGTAAAAAGAGACAGACATGTAATTTTCTTCGTAATTGCCCGCTTAATAGCTTTCAAAAGGGCTCTTGCTTCTGCTAGCAATGGAGACGACAGCCGAGTTGAAATCCCTCGTTGAAATACCTGCAGTTGATATTCATCAAAACAAACCCATGCAATTCCTGTTGCTCTTGTGACCTGTTGCCATGCTCCATCCACGACACAAGTAAACAGCTGAAAATCCTTAGAAACCACACAAGTATTGGCAAGAACACAACAGTGGTTAGAAGATGAATCATTCGACAGTGCATGCTTATAGTCCAATCTAGCATTTGTAACATCTATGAAATTGTTGGGCCATTGCTTTTTAAAATCATCAACCAGAATTAATGTTTGTTCAATGGATAATTGTTCATTTTGAAAAACCCGAAGGTTACTCTGTCGCCAAATTGCCCAAAGGATAGCCACAGAATGGAGAATAAGCTCATCCTCCTGAACAGAAGTTATCCACGTCGTCCACCAAATGTTAAAACCAACAGGTTGACCTATTGAGAAATTCAGTCCCAAAGTTGTGCCCCTCCAAACTCGTTGAGACCACTGGCACTCAAAGAAAACATGCTCTCTGGTTTCCTCAGTTTGGCCACATCGAGCACATATTGTATCAATAGGAATGCCTCTTTTGCTAAGCTGCCATTTTACCGGAAGGATATTATGAATACATTTCCACAAAAATAAGCTCAATTTAGAGGGCAAGTTTAACTTCCACAATTTTTTCCAAACTAAAGTATCCATTGTATTAGCACTAGGAGTTCCCGCGTGTCCACGTTTAATAGCCGACCAATAACCCGACTTAACCGAAAAGATCCCATTTGTAGTGTTAGTCCACACCAATCTATCTCGGCACGAAACCAAAGGGATATAGATACCAATCTATTTGGTTATAAGTTATAAATTTTTGAATCAAATATCATGTTACATCATTTATTTCAAACTCATTTCAGAACTCTTTTCTAAACTTATAACCAAACAAATTTTTCACATTCAAATCATAATTCCAAAACTCACAAACTCAAAATACAACTTCATTCTCAAATCATAATTCTAAAACTCTACCAAACGTTACCTACTTTTTTTTTTCTTTTTTTTTCTTTTTTTGTGACAATGCAATAAACTTAATAGTTTACGATTATCAAATCGACCTAATTTTTTGTATGAATAATATACGCTAATGACCTTACAAAATGAATTATTTGAATTATTAAAATGGGACTCATGCTCTACGGGTCCAGACAACACTCTTTAATCCATATCTATTCAAACCCCTTTTTTAATATATGCAAAAGGATAAATTACACTTACACCCCCTGAGATTTGGATTTAATACATATCTCCCTGACATTTGGAAAATTACACTAACCTCCTGTCAATGTAATTATTTAGATGGAATTAATGCTGGTATAAAAAATACATTGAATTCATATACTCTCTCTTTTCTTGATTTGCTTTACTTCTTCTTCTTTTTTCCCCCTTTGCTTTACTTCTTCTTTTTTTTTTAAAATGTAATTTCTTCTATTTTTCTACCAGAAACTGTTGCCTTTTATATAAGCAAAGGGTTTGTGAAATGAGACTACTAACCACAGGAGTAAGAATGTAATTTCTCAAACATCATGGGGTGATATGTATTAATCCAAACCTCATGAGGTGTCAATGTAATTTACCCTATGCAAAATAAATGAGCAATTATCATTTGATAATATGATGTTAATATATTTCGACTTATAAGTTGAAGTCAACATTAATGTGTACATTTAGGGAAAAACTATGGTGCACACTTCTCAAAAGGTGTATACTGTATATATTAAATAACTATAGAATAAAATGGTATAATTTCATATTTTCTGAGTCATAGCTGGAAAAAAAAAATATAACCAAATATAAAAAAGTAATAACCAAATATCTCAAAATATTGTTATAATTAAAAAATAAAATTAATCATAACTAAAAAAGAAAATGACACAATTAAAGATTCATATGATATAACAGTATATATAATTGAATTCTCCCTACATCTATAAAATTAACAAACCAACAATGAGTATTTCTCTTGTCAACTCTGTTGTACTGATATGTACATCTTTCATTAGAAGATTGTCCAAGAGAGATTGCATAGGTTACACAAAGTAAAAATTGTTATAGACCACAAAAATGTATTTACAAAAACCATATTGAAGTTGTGGCCAAAAAACCAAAAAAGCTTAGGATTGTCTGATTGATCGACTGAAAATGGCCTCAACACGATTTTTGAAAAACTATTTCCATGGTCTATAGCATTATGGTACAAAGTGTGTGTTCGTGTTAATTTTTTTTAAATGTGTATAAATATCAAGAGTATTTGCGGGCTCCATCGTTTTGATTTATACAATTTTTTATTTTGATTTATTTGTTTTCTTTTTTGTAATTTAATTTTTTATAAGGCTCATAATGTAGGAATTTAAATAAAGAGGCAATCGAAACCTGCCTGAAAATTGTCTAAAGAAAGAGAGAGCATTAGATTGCAAAAATTTCATTTATTGCATAAAATTGTGGACAGATGATGACAAAATCTTGTATCCAACCTATCCTACAATTAATCATTGTCCTTGTGAACTTTCTGCTTCCTTCTATTTATACAAATGGTTAGACTAAACAGTAGTAACAAAAATTAGCAAGGGATTTTGTCCCCAATACACTCTCAGTCGCACAATTTCTCTATCCCTAATACACTCACAGCCATACGATGTACCTCAAAATTTCCTTGTTAGAGATTCCCACACCATGTTGGTGAGAGTGCATGGAGACATGGACAAAGCAACATAAATTGGCACTGGATCCTCTATCCTAAAATTCTCTCCGAGCCATGTTTTTTTTAAATGTGTATAAATATCAAGAATATTTGTGGGCTCCATCGTTTTGATTTATACAATTTTTTATTTTGATTTATTTGTTTTCTTTTTTGTAATTTAATTTTTTATAAGGCTCATAATGTAGGAATTTAAATAAAGAGGCAATCGAAACCTGCCTGAAAATTGTCTAAAGAAAGAGAGAGCATTAGATTGCAAAAATTTCATTTATTGCATAAAATTGTGGACAGATGATGACAAAATCTTGGATCCAACCTATCCTACAATTAATCATTGTCCTCGTGAACTTTCTGCTTCCTTCTATTTATACAAATGGTTAAACTAAACAGTAGTAACAAAAATTAGCAAGGGATTTTGTCCCCAATACACTCTCAGTCGCACAATTTCTCTATCCCTAATACACTCATAGCCATACGATGTACCTCAAAATTTCCTTGTTAGAGATTCCCACACCATGTTGGTGAGAGTGCATGGAGACATGGACAAAGCAACATAAATTGGCACTGGATCCTCTATCCTAAAATTCTCTCTGAGCCATGATATGATCATATGTCAAAGTTTTTGTGTTCTGAGATTTCCCACCACATTGAAATGCATTGTGTGTGAGAGAGAGATTGTGTTCATTTTATTGAATAAAATTGTGTACAAAAAAACAAGATCTTGGTCCATCTGGTCCTACAACTACATAATCATATTTCAACACAAAACCATTTGCACAAAGGATTATTTGAGAAACTTAATTCATTACTACATTGGGAGGGAAGTGATACAGATTGTGAGAGAAACTACTACTTGTAAACTATAAAAATGGCCTATCTACAAAAGAAACCCTTCAATCTGTGACTTTAATCAGACAAGAGATATATGGTTGATGAATGGTTGTATCCTATAATCCTACACACTCTCATGACATGATTTCCCGATCTGCTCTTTCCCGTGCTCAACAGAACATAATGACTGCTCATTCATTTGTACGTGATTCATATGGAATCTTTAACACTCTCCCAAGGAGATGTCTAATTGAGAAGAGTAGCATCGTTTTGCACTCAATCCGTTGTCAACCTGAACCAATAGGGTTCAGAGAATCTAATCCTCCGCCTCATTTCTCTTCCAAACTTGCCATAGATGAAAGTTTCTCTTGCAAGGCTTCAAGCAAATCTTGATATTCAGCAAATGCCGGATGCGACTGGAAAGGAGTACATCAAGAAAAAAAAGTGAGGCACGTAGATGAAGTCACCGTAAACTAGTATATCTTTGAGAGACATATATGTACCTCCAGAGTCACGCTATAAGCTTTCCACAACCGCATATCATGTTGAAATAAATCAAAAAGAACCTGTGCAGCATAACGGAACAAAAACAACACATTTCATCATATTCTAATAAGATATGTAAACATCATTAAACTTTTCCTTCTGCAAATATTTCCATGGCAATTGTACCTCAGATCGTCTTAAAAGTGTGGCCAGGACAACTATCCACTCTTTGAACTTGACAGAGCACATATGAGCCAAAAGGAATTCTGCATCCAACCGACTCTGCAGTGTGCCCATTTGAAGCTGGAAATATATGAGACAAGTCAATCGTCAGGAAAACAATATCCAACTAATAATATTCAAACTTTTATTTGCCTAAAAACATGAACATGTCAAAAGGTTTTCTAAAAACAGTGCATGCCTCTGAAGGCAATATTCTCTCATGCTTTGTGCATTAATCTACTACATTTTCAAGATTTGACAGCATCTATGACTATTTTTCCAAGTAGTGTAGCCAATTTTAACCGTCAATAATAATATATGTTTCCTTTATTTTGGCTGAAATGAGGATGCTAAGATGGATGTATGGCAAGACTAGACAAGACAGAACTAGGAAGGAGTGTATTTGGGAATGGGTAGGAGTAGCACCGATAGTAAATAAGTTGAGAGAGAATCGATTGAGATAGTTTGGTCATATTCAACGGAGACCAACAGAGGCAATAGTGAAGAGATGCGATACTGTAATGGTAGATAGAAGTGTTAGGGGACGGGATAGCCTAGATTAACGTTGGCTAGTGTTGTATTGTAAGTAGAGATATGGATCTACTTAATTTGACTAATGAAATGACCTTTGATAGGGCCACTTGGAGAAGAAGGATTCATGTAGCTGATCCCATTTGATGGGACTTAAGGTTTGGCTTGATTTGGTTTTATTGTAGCGCTTAAGAATTCTTCCAAGCGCGCCTCTTTTTCAGTATAACTGTTGCGTTCTTCAGAGAGAAGTCTAATATAAAGCTACTACTAATGAAAGCCCAAATAAGAAAATTCTTCATGGTGGTGTATTTAAGTTTCAGGCAAGCATGACACAAACACATGGAGAGAGGGAGAGAGAGATGTGACTATCATTTCTTGAACTTCTTACACAGGTTAACAAATATCAATGAACCATGAATCAAATTGTTAGGTTAAAACAACTTACGAGTTCATGCAAAACACCAAAGGAGAAACAGGTAAATCTCAACCTTTGAATAAAATCAATGACTCAAAATTTTCAACAAATATTTCAAAAGGTTACCTTTTGCCCAATCAATTCGAGCCCTGAAGCAAAATTCTCCAAACGAGCACTTCCATACCTTTCCCTTTGAAGATATTCCTGCAGTAAGATAATATGTACACAACCTAAGATCACCACACAGGAACAGAAATCCATAACAAACCAGATATGTGAGTTTGTCTTACCACTAGATCAAATTGAGTGCCTTTCACAAAAGCAACAAGCTTGGAAAGCTCTTTCCCCGACATTAAATAGCTAGCATGGCTTTCTAGGATGTTCTTAACAGAAGCAACATGTGCATTCTGCTCTTTGAATGAGGGGCTGCTCCCAAAAAATAATAATAATAATAAAATGTCTATCTGTAGCACTTAAAATGAAAATTTTGCAAGCTTTCAATGATGCGCTAATTAGTTAGTGGAAGAGAACATTACCTTTTCAAGTCAAAAGATTGCCTCCTGTAACTAGAAGGGAAAAGAAAATAGCTCAAGAATCTGGGTGATAGTTTGTCTGAATCTGTTGCTGAAGGTTCATATTCCCTTCCAGATCTGAGCAGAAACCTCACCTGAGAATAAAGGAGAAAGATCAAAATTGGAAGAAAACCGTTAAGGTGTTATTAACCATCTCACTGAATGAGGCATAAAGTTGTATCAAAACTTGTACCAGCTCCCCAGCGAGTTCATATAAAGATTCATCAAGCGCTGCCTGCACAATTTTCAAACTCCTCAGGCATTTGACACAGTAGATTAAATTAAAAGGCAAGTATGGCAACTATAAGCAGTGGTTACCTGTAATAAACGTAAAGCACAGTATTGACTAACAGCAGGACCCTCAAGTTTAGCTATCACCTGTGGCAGCAAAAGTGGTACAAGATAAGATTAGCAATTTAGAATTGAAGAATGGGATTTTAAAAAGTTGATAAGCAATGAAGCTTAGCTTATCTAGAACTTCTTCCTTGAAATACGAGCTTTTTCAGGACATAAGTTGTCCTCTATGTTACATGGACACTTCTAAATGAAGTACCCACATTGGACACTCCACACTTATTGCCTGCTACTTGTACTTGTGAAACTTATTGATCTAGTAGACTTGAACACTTCCAATTTGTTAAAGCAATTATAGACGAACTGAATACCAATTCAATCAATTCACTAAGACTAATGCCATGTTAAAGACGTAAATATACTGAAGATAAAATTGTAACTAGACTAACTTTACAGCAGAGAGTCACAGAAGAAACTTTAATCTTTTCAGAGAGACTTTAATCTTTTCGTATTTGGAACAAAAAAAAAAATTGGGGGGGGGTGGCACTAATGACAATTTGTGAAATTCCTCAAACCCTAAAGCTTGAACATAATCAACCGAGATGATTTAGTACTTACAAGTATATAGCAAGCTGCTGTCCGGTACCATCTCTGCTGGAAGCATTCCTCAAACAACCTAGAGAACAGAAAAATCAAGAAAGCCACTAGAAACACACTTTACATGAAGTAAAATCAAGAGAAATCACATACTCCGTTGATCTTCCCGCAGCAGAAAACAAATCCGCCCAATGTCGGCCATCAGTTTTTCTTGCAACACTAACCACCACATCAAAATACTCGGGAAAATTCTTAATTAAATCACAAGTCTTCTCCAAAAGAGAGGAGTTGGTACCATGCTTAGGAACAAAGACCTGGTTTTTATTTGCACTCTGCCTGTAAGAAAGTAGTTAAAACCAATCAAAAATTTAAACATGAAAATCTAACCCATGGTGGAGGCATATGAAAAACAAAAAACGTTAATAGAAAATGTCAGCAGCAGAACTCCCTAGCCAAATACCCCCACTCACCCAAGACCCCAAGATCCCATGCCAAATATGATATACCTCTCACCCCAATCACAACAAGATGGATACATTGTAACAACCCACATTTATGTCTTAGTCATGTTCATGAGCATCCGTATTATTATGACTTGTTAAGCTTGCATTTGTATATTTGTGACTTGTTTTGCTTAAGTAAGGTTCATGCCTTGTTTTGTGGCTATGTGAAGTGTCTAAGTGTTGCTTGCATGCTTTGCCCCTTCCCTGTTATGTTAAGCCTAGGTCATGCCAAGCCTAGGTTGTGTTAAGCCTGGATCATTCCTAGCTGAGGTCATCTTTAGTCTAGAAGCATCTTGAAACCCCTTTGTTGACCTCCATCTTCGCCTTGACATATTGGCCGAGATGTCATTATCTAGGCCGAGGTGTGAATCACCAAGGCCGAGATGTGTATTATCTAGGCCGAGATGTTACCTTTGCACCTGAGTGACCTTGTCCTGGAGTGGTATGACCTAGACCGAGGTGTGGCACATCTAGGCCAAGGTGTGGCACAGCTTAGTTAAGTGTTGTCCTTCCTAGCCGAGGTCATTGTCACCTTATTTGCCGAGGTCATTGTCACCTTATTTGCCGAAGTCTTGTTGTTAGCCGATGTCACCACTTGCCGGAGTGCCTCACCGAGTAGCTTGTTAGATACACTTTGTCATAGTGTTGTCTTGTCAACCTATCACCTTTTTGAAGAGAACCAACCTAGGCCGAGGTGTGAATCACCAAGGCCGAGATGTGTATTATCTAGGCCGAGATGTTACCTTTGCACCTGAGTGACCTTGTCCTGGAGTGGTATGACCTAGACCGAGGTGTGGCACATCTAGGCCAAGGTGTGGCACAGCTTAGTCAAGAGTTGTCCTTCCTAGCCGAGGTCATTGTCACCTTATTTGCCGAAGTCTTGTTGTTAGCCGATGTCACCACTTGCCGGAGTGCCTCATCGAGTAGCTTGTTAGATACACTTTGTCATAGTGTTGTCTTGTCAACCTATCACCTTTTTGAAGAGAACCAACCAGTCGTTGCCACGTGTCCGAGCTGAGAGTTAAGTCAGCTGATAGAGAGAGAAAACCTATCATTTCTATATCCTTGTTTTGAAGAGTAGAGAGAGAAGCTCTAGAGGAGGGAGAAGGGTTCTTGAGGGAGAGATAGATTTCCAAGCTTGATTCCTAGAGATCGAACCGTTAGATCCGTGTTCTAAGGTTGGATTCTTGATCTGCTCTTGTCGTTCTTTATGTTTATGTTACTGCATTGCATGATTGAATATGATTTGTAAGCCATGCATTGCTTTGAAGTTCGGTTTTAGAAAGAGAAAATAGCATTCATGTGTTCTTCAAGAAAAGTCATGTTTTGATCCGAAAGCTCATGCCAAGATTCATGTTTTTGTGTTTGTTTTCACATGATTTTCAAGTATGGGTAGATCGATGATATTGATGAGCCATGTTCATGTTCTTCCTGTTCTTCACGGGTGGAAACCCAGATCTCCTGACCTCACCTCCCGAGGTGTAGTCGCTGAGATCACTCTTACTTAGACCTCACACTTAGGCCAAGCATCGTATCTCACCTTGGCCTACCTTGCATGATCACTTACACCTTTAGTTGTCTTGTGCGCACCTCGGCATGCAGCCGCATGCCGAAACCTAGGTAGCCACACCTCGGCCAGGAAGTATGGGACCTCGGCAAAGACCTGGTTGGTACCTAGCATGTCTTCCTGACATGTAAAACAGTGTTTTGACTTCCAGCATATTTTCCCAAGATCATTTGCATGCATGTGAGACCTATTTTGAGATGTGCATTCAGTATGCTTTGTCATGTGTTTGTAGGACCTGGACCCTTGCCTTGATCCCGACGTCCCAAGAACTAATGTGAGTGGTATTTTTAATAAAGTTATGTTCTTAAGGTTTTGATAAATCTTTGCCTTGTTTTGATAAAAGTATTTGTTAAGCATGAATGATATCCCTATTTTGTGTATCAAGTATAAGCTTTGTTTTGAATGACAATGTATCAAGTAAGCTTTGTTTTAACGACATTCACCAAGTGTTAAAGAGCTACGGGCTCTTGTAACATAGGTCCCTTGTGCTGGAGGACTCTAAACTTGCGCAGCACCCAAGTGTTAAAGGGCTACGAGCTCTTGTAACATTGCTTAAGAGATCTCTGTCATCGACGGTCTGGGAACGGATGGCCCCACCGACGGTCTGGGATACGGGTGGATTTGTCTAATCGATTCCGAGTCGATTATTCCCTTGTTTTGTCTTGTTTTGCCGCCGACGGTCTATGAACAGGTGGGTTTGTTTTGTCAGGAATGTCATCACCTCATGTATTATGTAGATGTTATTAAGCATCCCAAGAAGATTTGAAAGGCCAAGATTTGATTGATGAACTTGATTCATCTCATGTTTTGTACAAGCTATGATATATGTATTGTTTTGACAAAGACCTCGGGAATCATTCATTTAACCCCTTTATTACTTATACCATTCACTGAGTATCCAAGCTCACCCTTCCTATGTATATGTGTAGGTAACAAGCAAGAAGTCGGCTACGTTGAGATGTGTGTTTTATGTGCATGTTATGTCGGCTGTATTGATGTCGGCAATCCTGAAGATTGTGTTCCATGATTTGTAGCTCAAGTGTTTTGTTTATGTCGGCAATCTTGAAGCTTAAGTATTTCGAACATGTCGGCTTGAGAAGCCTTTTATCAAGATGTAACATATATTTTGTACTTTATTTTATTTGTATTCAAGTTTTAAAGCTATGTAAAGATGTATGCCATTTCATTTGACCTATATACTGCTCTTATGGACCACTTGTATTTTAAATTATTGCTTCCGCACATGTGAGCCCCATATATTTATACTCTGATTGTGTGTGAATTTTGTAAGTTGGCCTTCGGTATTCCCGGATTACTGGCCATCACGGCACCAAACTACTAGGGGCTGTTTGGGGTCGTGACATACATTTTCTTGATAACAAACATTTACAAGGATTGATCATATACAAGTACTCCCCCTACAAAGGGAAATTTTTTACCAAACAGTTGCTTAGATCAACAGAAACAGCGAACCTCTCAGTTAGAACAGTAACTAGGGTGGTAAGCTCAGTAGCTCACTCACTTCAGCATCAGTTTAACTTCACGTAATTCCCAGCACCATCTCAACCAAGCAAAGCCATTTCATTCGTTGAATCTTCAAATATGATTTATAATAAACATGAATGATGCTTAAAGTTACGAGGCTCAGAATGGTATAAGTTTCTTAATAATATACCTGGAAATTTCAGCTTCGAATACTGTAAAAAGAAGCCACTCCAGGCAATGGGAAAAATGAGGCTTCTGCGCTGATAGTTGTGCCAAAAGTAAAGCTTCCTCCCTCTTGTCCCTCTGGCAAACACAATATCAGAAACAGAAATGGGAATTCTTTATAAGAAACAAGTAAAAATCAAAACATAACAAATAGTGTGAATTCACCATGCTGCCATAACAAACTGATCACAAAATCTGGTTAAAGGACCGTCATGCTTACTAAAGCAGTAAGACCTTAACACTAAGCAGTACTAAACATATTTTTAGGAAAATACAGCATTTTTAGCTTGATTAATCTCTACAAAGTATTAAGAGTTGACGATTTCCTCACAGAATATTACAAACTCAATGGTACCTGAAGAAGATGTCTGAGTAGGCAATGCAATATAGTTTGTGCTTGAGGAGTTGGCTCAAAACATGGAAACTCTGTGCATGCTGAAAAAGACATCCTCTGGGAAACACCAACAACAACTCCAGCATTTGGCAGAAGACCAAGAGGGTAAACCTCACGATCAAATTCCAATTCAGGATCCAACTGAAAATTAATGTCAAGTTACTTGACCGTCTCAGATTACATGACCCAGATAATCAGATCAGCATTAAAATCCAATGAATATAATTCTACAATTAAAGAATGATCAACTTTAAATATGTAAATGATACTAGGTTGTTTAATCCAGTCCACCTGACAACTTAAAGACTATCCAATGGAAATTCATGGACAGAGATAAAAGGCATAACCAACACTATTTGCATTAGAAACAGAGTAGTAAGCATATAAATTGAAAAAGAACCAAGTATTGCTAATGTCCTGAAGAAGTGAAACCACCACCAGAGATGCTGACTGACTAAGCCAACTGATGACTTATAAAATGGACAGCAAAAGAAATCAGATATACCAAAATGGGTCCTTCTTCTATTTCCTGTGATTCTAACAGATGAAATCCCAAAGGAATATAAAAAGTTCTACACTATTACATGATAAAGACATGCACAAACTAACAAACTGATAAATTGGAAAAATCTGATTTGCACCAAAAAAACAAATTCATTTAACCATAATATGCATATGTACCTGCAAGAAATCTTCCTGCTTGAACGGGTCGACACCTAGAGATGGATACCAAACCTGTAATGATGCATCAGACGAGTAAAATAGAAGAGAACACTAAAAATGAAGAATGAATTAGCCAAAGAAAACTATTACCTGCATCCCTCGGTGGCCATAATCTAACCATGAAACCTCTTCAATCAAGTTTGTTTTCTCCTCTGATTGACCACAGGTAACCCAAAACAATTCAACAGAGTCAGTCAGCTCTCTTTCCCTCCCATCATCCAAATCGAGAAGTGAAAGTTCCCCATTGGCCCTCAATATCAAACATCTAAAGAACAGTCAGTCATCAGTAGTTTGTGAATCTGTGGTGCAGATAAAAATTCTATACATCATTTTTAAGGATAAGTGCATACCTCACAGGTTCTTTGCCTAACAAATCAGACGGAGTTGAGATTTGATTTTTGGAGACGTGCTCCCTTGAAAGCTGATCAGGGATAAAACGCATTGCGGCAGGATGGCTCTTTGCAGTCATGATTGAGAGCTCTCGTACTGTAGAAAGCTGTTTGTCATTTTATCACTTAAAAACGCATGAAGAATGATTATTCATTACAAAACTCTCATTCTAAGTGCAACTTAAAACTTAAGAAGCCAATAAGCATCCACAAGAAAATATCAGTTTCTTCCTAAACAAATCATACGAGAGAGAGAGTTAAAACATTACCTGTAAATCCGGAGAACTAGAAGGTGTCAGTTCACCAGATAACTTCACATGGAATATATGGACATCAAACGGGCGATAAGTAACAAGTAGATAATCTTGATAAACATCCATCACCATTGGGTTCGCAAGCAATGGTTTCCTACAAAGTAAAGAGCTCTGGTCGAGGTGATATCGAGGGTAGAAAAGCAACTCGTAACTGCAAAAGATTAAATACTAGTTTTAAATGCTAAATTGTCCTCCCAGAAGGAACAAAACCAAAACAACTAAAACTGAAGAACTAATAACACTATTCAAAGTGCACCTTCAATTACGTTTTCTATTTGATTAATCAGCACAATTAGAAGATGAATCTAGAGCTTATATAAAAGCTTAAATAGGTTCTCTTTTGTTGAGGCAAGGATGTCAATAACAAGCAACATTCCCAAGATGGAATCTAATTGCTGGGAAGCTCAACATGTGTAAGAATTTTTATGTATTCAAAGCTCAACATGTGTAAGCATTTTTATGTATTCTGCAAATTTTGAACAAGAAGATTCTTTAAATACTAGAGATTTTATTTTTAAAAAAAAATGGATCATGCACTTACCAAACTTAACTTCCATAAAATTCAAATAAATTTTGGTAGATCTTTACGATAAACATCTGAATCTAACACTTGCATAGTTTTAAATGATAAAGTTCCATCTAAAATCCAATAAGACAGATACATACATGTACATTTTTTTTGATAAATACAGATACATACATGTACATGTTCACACATCAATGACGATTTTACTTTTTATATGAATCCATGAAACATAGTTTTTAGGTCAACTTGATATGGATTATGTTTCTAAAATCCCTCTTCTTTTTAATGGTCAAATAATGTTTAATAGCATTCCTAGATGAGAAAGAAATGAAACTTGGATATCACTATAATGTTGTTCATACTGAAGTTGGATGATGGATATATAAAACCCCACGTCTGCTGCTGTTTTTTCGTATTTGAATCTCGCCATTTATTACCAGTTATTGGTCAGATCTGAATAATCCAATACTGAACACACAGTGTCCTCTACAACGTTATGACACCACCATTCAGTGTCTTCACCAATGGTCTGACACGACCATACAGTGTCTCCTATCCTTTTTTATTTTTATGTATTTTCTTGTTTTGTTCCTCTCTTCAAACTCAAGTTGGTTAGTTTCTATCCTCCTTGAGTTTGCGGGGGGCTGTTAGAATTTACCATCACCTACCACCCATTTACCATCACCTACCACCACCTACTCCTCACCTACTCCTCACCTACTACACTCACCCTCTCCTATATAATGAGCCACTCACCATTTGTAATAGATATCAAACAATATTTATAAATCAATAATACAATCATTTCTCTTTATACATTAAATTTCTACACATATTTTTTAGGTCAACTTGATATGGATTATGTTTCTAAAATCCCTCTTCTTTTTAATGGTCAAATAATTTTTAATAGCATTCCTAGATGATAAAGAAATGAAACTTGGATATCACTATAATGTTGTTCATGCTGAAGTTGGATGATGGATATATAAAACCCCACGTGTGCTGCTGTTTTTTCATATTTGAATCTCGCCATTTATTACCAGTTATTGGTCAGATCTGAATAATCCAATACTGAACACAAATCAAACTAATTGACTTGTTAAGCGTTAACTGGCATGCAAATAAATTAATCCTTTTACTCTTTCCATTCTATCAATGCTATTTGCTAGAGACAGAAAAAAAAAAAAATCTTAATCCTAAGTGTCTGATTGAGATATTCTTGTCAATATGTCGTCTCAAACTCTCATCTCGTAACAAAAGATAAGGATACATATATGATACTAAATAATTTTAGAGACACTTGGTTACAGCAATAAAGCAAATTATAAGCAACAAGTATATGACGTAAATGTATATATATACATAGTTTCAACTACCAACAAATAAAACATCTATATATTGCTCACGTGTTAGAAGAATCAATGTAATTGCAGACAACAACAATGTTCCCCAGCCATGACAAGCCTGTGCACTGAATCTTTTGTTCCTGGGTAATATCACCAAATACTCGCCACTTTTTCAATCGTATATCATACAAGATTAAGCCATGAAGACCAGCAACAGCCAAGTACATCCCATCCTTGCTAGCTGCCACATGCATAACTGGCCAATTTTGGGATAAATAAGAAACCTAGTTCAAAGCAAAACTAAGTTAGCAATATTCATATTGCACAAGAATAAGAATGAGAAGAATCAATCATTATGATTACAAAATCCACATAACTGGAAGGTGAAGGTGCAAAATCTTAAGCTCATCAGTGTCTTCAGACTGCACAATGAGCAGTCGATCTTCACCATAGATAACTTGACGGGTATACGTAGTGCCTGAAACTCCTCTGTTCAGGCAACATTTGCCAAAAGAAAATGCAATGATTCTCTCTGAAGAACGTTCCTCAACAGCATAAAGTCTATATCCATATTCATCCCAGTGCATCAGTGAGGTGCCACCCATCATAGGTTCATATTTGCAATCCTGATTTGTCTTAACCACTGGAGAAGATACAGAACTTAAACCAATTTGACGAATGGTAGACATCAAACGACACCCAGAGACGGACCAAACTGTAAGTCCTCTTAGCTTCCACCCAACTGCAAAAGCAGAATTATCAGGTGTCCATGCAATACAACTGACAGCACCAGTATCTTCCATTGAATATCTGCACAAAAAATCACAAGCAAGACACTTGAGTCATTCACCCATCAAAGTATACAAGACTGACTTCTGCATGAACTACAAAATATGCTATACTTCATCAAGGTTGGTCAAAATGTCTAATAAAACTGCAAAAAGTTTAGTACAAAGTAAGCCACGCATAATAGAAGCCACATAGAAATGATTTATCATCAAAATATAAATCATAAGAGCATAACAATGGTTAAAACTACTCTTACAAAGTAAAGACTTTAATGTAAAAGACAGAAATGGAATGTATGTAGAGAAGGAGATTCTAAGGAAGAACCAAAAATGACAGCAAAGCCCCTGGAAGGAGGCATTACAACAGTCTCAAATTAAATAGAGTTAGATGTCTCGGCATGGCCTAAAAATTGCACCTCTTAAGGACCTGGTTAATTCAACCACAACAAGGATAACCAAAAAAAACCAAAGCCAATCTTAAGTCAGCTCAGTAAGGCTCAATACCAGATACTTGGTGTTGAATCTTGTACAACCAATCCACCTATCTAATTTCCAATTGATCATTAATCAACAGTGTTTTTCCTGTTTCCTTAATCCACATGCTTTCTCATCTTCCCCTCAACCTTACAAGTCCCTTGACCTTAATCATATCACTCCTCAAAAACCAGCAAATAGCCTTGATTTATCCTGACCAAACTGCTTTCAACTTCACCACTGCTTCTCACAATGAGATGAGTCTGGTGACCTCCAAAAAAATACATTTATCGTTCATTTTACTGAACCATCTTTTATTTTACCACTCTTTAAGCACTCTGTAATATTTTGAACTTCATTTTATGAAAAAAGTTACTTTTTGATCACTTGGCACTACGAATTCTGGAGGCATGCTATGTCGTGGCTGTCCGACAATTTCTACTCAATTTGATACATAAATGTCAATCACACAACATTCCAAAGGTACTCCTTTTCCATATATGCATCCTTTTCACATACTTAATCTTGTATCCTTTTCATATACTTAATTTTGTATGTTAGAATGCTGTTGGTTTTTATTGGTCATTAATAGCTTGGAGTATTTTGTTATTTTAAAAATTTTACAGTTTACCCATGGGTCAAATATTGTTATTTGAGTCTTACATGGAGTCTTTATTAGTTATAGAATATTGTAAATTTGTAACAAGTCAAAGCTTCTTAATTTTGGAATCATAGTCCTAATAGAATTAGGAGAACCCAGCACTCTATAAATACGTATATATCTATTCTATGGAGTTCTCTTGAAATTTGATGTAAAACATTTGTCGCTTTCAGTGATACTTTGTGAAACCTTACCTTAGGGGGTTATTCCGATTCTTCTTTTTTCACAAAACATTTATTCCTGGGTTACTATTCACAGCCCTAAAACAGTGCAAATCTCAGGCACAAGAACCTTACCTAATCAAGCCTAAATTGCCGCCAACCATTGTCCTTGCCTTTCAGCTTTTATTGTCACACCAAAATATCATAAAATAAATGCTTTCCTGGAACATTTTGGGACCACTTCTTAAGACCCAACAACCAAATACTTCTGAAAATCAAGCCAATTGTCACCCTTTTTCCATCTAAAACAGTCAAAGCTGCCCTTCATCTTTTAGAACTCTAAGCCTAGAAACTTTCCATAGCTAAAAGCCCACCACCAGATACATCATATGTAGTGACCCTTAGTTTCTAAGGCTGTCCCCCTAGTTCTATTGTTCCCCTTTTTCTTCTTCTTTCTCCTTGTTGAATGAAGAATCTTTAAATCTTCTTGCACACACGTGCATGGCTAGTTGTAGAGAATAAAGCCCATAGCGTTGATTATCAAGTCTTGACCCTCTTTGAAGTGAAAAGTCATCAAAGACTCAAAAGTATTAGGCATGGGGCAACTAAGCAGTCAGCTTAGCTGAATAATTAAAGAAGTGCAAGTATTAGACCAGAAACTAAGGAAGAGATAGGTTATTTTAGGAACCTTTGTGGCGGTTAGTATCATTTTCAGATAGCTGTGGAAATAGTTGTAATATGTAATAAGAAGAGAAATCTCGTAATAATGCAGAAACGCCACATATTTTTAAGTTTAACTAATAACTGCAAAAGCATACCCCCAGTCATACAAAGATACAGATCGAATAAGTGATGCAGAATCCACAAGATCATATAACTCAACAACACCTCTTCTGGTACCAACAGCGAGAATTTGTTGCTCTGAACATACGGAGGCACATGCAGCATCACCAGACCCCAACAGCTTTTCTGCTTTAATAGACTCGGCTTGCTTTAAACCTTTCTTACTTACAGAACATAAGACCAGTTGGCCTTCTAAGAATATCACAAATAGCAATCTTAGGGGCAGGGAAAACTCCAGCTGGATGATGGCAGACCTTTGGAACAAATAATGACTGGGCATGACAGCTCCTTGAACCCCTTTGGAAGCAAGACCATTGTCTGGAGAATATGATAATTTAGTAGCTTCATTGCCATCTTGTAAGTAAAAGTGAAGTCCAAAAGCCCCATAGAACTGCATCAAACAGTAACAAGAACCAAATTTTAAAATCATGTGCAAAAAATGTCCATTTTTCTCTTGATATAAAAAAAGAAGCAAGATACTACTCACTATTTGTGCTAAAAGAATTTAATGTCTATGCTGTATAGCAAATATACTGCATTACATTGCATTTAAAAACTGATCAAAACTGATAGTGTCCACCACATTCGTATTACCTCCCCCTTCCAAGATATGTTGTACAAAGATCCATCCGATAGTCCAATTAGTAAGTGCTTGCTGTCACAAACAATATTGCTCCTGCAATCCGGGGGAAGGGAAAAAAATTACTGTAAGATCAATAGTTAATAAGCAAAACAGCCAACATATTTTGCATAATGAAATTTGATACTAAATGCAGCATTAGAATAAACCAGAGTGAATAATGTCAAGTTAAAATTCAACATGTTTCCAAACAGAATGGCTACAATAATTGGAATTTCAGACAAATTTCACTATATTATTTCTCTTTGCTATGAGATTTGAGAAGTACAATCCACAAAAGACCGTCAAATGAGGACAGAGTGCATGGGTCATATGCATGATATGGGCCATAAGAAGCTTTAAAAAAAATTAATTTTAAAAGCAGAAAAACTGGAAGTTGGTAGGTCTCAAGGCAGAGCCCACTAAGACATCTTGTCCTTTCTTATCAGCAACAAAGTAAATTGTACTAGAGAACATGATGAGGAGGAGGCACAACACTTACATAATCAAGAAAAATAAAGAGAAGAAAAAGGAAAGGCATAAAAGAGACGTCGATTTCCATTTACTTCCACAATTCCCAATAGCCACAACAAATTTGATGTTCAGATGCTTCTCCTTGAACTGCCACAATGCCTAAAAAAGCTCTAATAGGCTTTTATAGGTAATTTACCATCCTCAACCAAACACTATCCTTATCCCTCTTACTGCATTGCCCAGTGTTTTAAAAAGCGCGCCTAAGCGCTAAGCGAGGCGAGGCGCAGGGTTGGCGCTTGAAGTAGACGAAGCGAGGCGCATTGCGAGAAGCGCACATAAGGCGCCGAGGCGCACGCCTTTCACCTAGGCTGAAAGCGCACGCTTCGTGCACTTCGGCTAGGGCTGACCTGTTTCGTGTTTGTGTACCAGCCACATAGGATTAAAACTCTTATACAACACAAATCTGTTGGTGAGCTTCTTCCAATCGACTGATCTGAGCTTCGAAATCGACTGATCTGAGCTTCTTCAGGTTCGTCTCTGCTTCTTCTCTTCTCTCTCTGCTTCTTCTCTTCTGCTTCGTCTTCTCTTCTCCTCTCTTCTCTTCTCTTCTTTCGTCGTCTTCTCTCTCGCTTCTGTCTGGCTCACGATCGCGATTGCGATCTCTCTCTCTCTCTCTCTCTCTCTCGCTCGCTTCTGTCTCTTGATTCATATATATATAATACATTATATGATACCTATTATATAATATATAATATATAATATACTTATATAATATATAAAATATAATATATACTTATTCATAGTAATAAAAAAAATATATATGTATGTAAAATAAAATAAAATAAAAATTAATTAAAACACATTATGTAAAAAATATAATAAATAAATAAAATAATATATATATTAAAAAAATTAATTATTTTTTTCTTTTTCATTTCTGCTCTTCTTATTAAAAAAATTAATAATATACATATTAAATACTTTCTATGTTGAAAATTGTGTTATATTAATATTTTGCTTAACTTTTATAACTTGCGCCTCGCTTTGGTGAGGCGCGCGCCTCGCCTCGCGCTTAGACTCCAGGTGACCTTGGCGCCTCGATGCGCCTAGAGCTTTTTAAAACACTGGCATTGCCAAACTATAGACCCCTCCCCTTATATTCATCATAATTAACCGTACATTAAAGCCTTCTGAGTTTCCTTTTCCTTCCTAGATGATGTTTTTCCTCCCTTTCTCTTTTTAACCTTTTGAATCTCACAAATCACCTCTGTCACAAGTTTTCTTGGTTCTTCAGTTGAATTTCCTCAAAGCTGGTGCAATCATCACACTTCTCTTTCACCTTTCTACCCACTTGTTTAAACTGCTCATGGCCAAGGTTATCACCTTTCTACCCACTTGTTGCATTTTAGAATCAACTTGGTCATAGTTTAAGGCTTCTTTTTTATATAACTCTGGTCCAATTTTGTATATGTTCTCATATGATTTGAGATCCACGTATATTTTCATAAGTTTCTACATATACTCAACAAGGGAGGTCCATGAGTCTTACTATGTGTTGATCAACTTATGGTTTTGGAATTTTTATTGGTTAATAAATGTTTTACTAGTCAAAGTCTATAAGCTTCCAAACATGGAGTCTAAAGCACAATTGTGTCTAGATTACCAAGAAATTTATATAAAGAAAGCTACACAACGCTTCCAATGAATATCTGTGAAATATATTTTTGAAGCCTTAGGGGATCGTTCAATGCAATTTTAACCCGAGGTGCAATGCCTGAAGGGAATCTCATAATGAAAATTGTCCTCCTTCCCTTACTTTTTGAAAGCAACATTTTCTGATTCAATCACTATTAGCCACTAATTTCATCAATTTTCCAACCAAAAATACTTCTTTGATAGCCCTAGTTCTTAAAAACACTATCCTACACCGTAAGCCTCATCTTTCATAGCCCTAGTACTTTCCCTGCACAATAAGTCTCCTTCTCTCTAACAATTAAAACCTTAAAGACGGCACTTCACAAAAGTCCCAGAACCATATTCCTGAACTCCCACACACCAAACACCTCCAAAACTATGTCAATATCTTTCCTTCAACCACTCAATCATGGCACCGGCAGAACACCAAGACTTAAAATACGGTTGTTACTATTCACAGTCCCCAAAACTTTGCTTTTCTTTGCTAAAAACTGTTACTCTTTCTGTGCATCCAAACAACCCACAAAAACTAAACTGTAATGCCCTTTGGAACAGTTCTCTAGGCTAGAAATTGGCTAAAAAGTGAAACATGCAAAATGACAAAATACCCCCAAGAGCCCCCCCAAAAAGGTCTACTTTAGCCCATCATTTTATGTGCAAAACTACTCATTTTTCAAAATTGGTTTCCACCATTCTTTAGTACCTTGAAAGAGCTTTGCGTGCATAAAAAATGAGCTTCAATCCGATTTCAAACAAAAGAGCTATGAGCATTTTATGAAAACCACTCATCGTTACCTCCTGAGGATAAAATGGCCATAACTCAAAAAAGACTATGTATTTGGTGTTGAAACCAGCTGGAGAAGAAAGCACAGTCTCCAAGCTTTTTGATATCTGGATTGCATAAACAGAGTTTGAATGTGCCCAAGATGCTTCCCTAAAGTACCTAAAAATGAACCAAAAGGGGCTAATTTTGTGCTGGGCTGACACTCTCAGAGGTACCGAGCTGGTACATGGTGAGTTGTTTTTGAAACCTCATATCAACACAGTCCCTGAGCTTTCTCAACCGCTCAACCTTTTAAGTGATTTTTGAAGAATGCCACAAACCTCTAGCAACAAAATTGGCAATGACCATATAGAAATCACAAAGAAGGCTAAGAGATAAATCCTTGAGTTTATGTACATTGCTCAAATTTGTCAAAACGGAGAGTTGTCTTGAAAGGAAAGAATAAATCCTTAAAATAGATTAACCTATTGGGGCCAGGAATCACTAAAGCTAGTTTCAAAAGTCACTCGAAGCTCTAAAATAAAAACATAAGATACCCCTTGACCCACCCCCCACCCACCCTGAACATGAACAATCCCTGATGAAACACAGAGCTTGCAACTGTGCCCTTGCTTTTTTGATGATTGGGTGGTGCTTTTGGAAAACAATAACTATAGCAGATAGTTGAACTCATGACCCACATGCAACAATCAGCAAATAAAAGAATTATGGATTTACTTACGTTGCTAATTCCTTATTTGAGAATGGCACCTGCTCACTGAGAAGTAGAGAAATAGTTGCAAGAAACAACCCAGATGGCTGCTTCCCTCCAATTTGTATTCTTTTTTCTGTGAACTGGACCTTAAATATGTGAAGATAGGAAGAAGAGGTCTGCAAAAAGAAGGCAATCAACGAAAAGGCATCGTTACATCTTTTAAAACTAAATTTCAATAATATTAGATTATGAAATGCATTTGAATTCAACAATCACAATTATTACCACAAGCATGGATTGCACTTTTGGCCATACAATTGTCATTTGGACCAATATGAAACATTTATGACATAAAGAAAAGTCAAACCCAATTGTACTGACCAGAGAATGAACAATAACCAGCTAATGGCATCCACTCCATTATTACCACCATTCAATGTAAGACCAAAAAAAAATGGGAAATAAATTTCAACCCTCATTCCAAAAAGTTCCACCCATCTTACTTCAGATGAGTTTCAAAGTATTGTAGCACGCAAGACAGTCTTTCCACTAGCAGTGATCTATAAAGCTAGATTCTCATCCATCTAAACATTATTTCAACGTATCAACTCACTAGTGCACAACCACATTTTTAACATTTTCAACATGTATCTATATTAGCAGCACAAGAGCTATCAAAATTCACAATAAATCATAAAGACTATAATGTAATCCATAATAATTAAGAACCAAAATATATATATATATATATATATAGGAGTACATTGCAAGGGGCAAGATCACAACTTACGAGAACAGCGATCAATTTGGCATCCGGACTCCAAACGGCCTGTATATTCTCTCCTTCTCTCTGAATCGAATATGAATCTCTCTTGTACTTCCCCAGTCTCACCTTGTGCTGAATTCAATTCATAAAAATATCAATATCCTAAACTACTCTCCAAACATCAAATTCAAATTCAAAAAATTCAAATTCATCACAATGCACCAACGCAAATCAATAAGTAATATCGAACTCACACACACACACACACATATATATATATATATATATAGAGAGAGAGAGAGAGAGACCTGAGAAGAGCTCCAGAGCTCCAAATGAGAAGGAGCGACAACGAGCAAGAGGCGATTGGTGAGTTTAAGGTAGATGATCCGCTCGGAAGAAGGACAGGGACCAGATTCGAGAGGGATGACCTCTGGCCATCCATATGCCATATACATCTTCGATTTGTATATATATGTATATATAAAGAGAGAAAATTAATTAGATCGGAGAGAGAAAGTTAGGGTTTTTCGAAGAGATCGAAAGCATTTCTTGTAGAGTGAGAGAGACGACGATTACAGGTTGAGGAGGGGGGATCTGAGATTTTCAAGAAGGAAGCTTTTTTTTCTATTTTTCTTTAATTAATAAATTTGTTTTTCTTCTTTATATTAATTTATGAATAATGGTAATTTGGTAAATTACACTCATGCCCTTCAAATTTTAAAAATTATACTATTTTCCCTTCCTTATTAATGTTTTTCAAATAACTACCAAAATTTTAAGGGTTTTTTTTTAAGATCTCTCATATTAAGATTTTATAGCATAAAGGACATCTAATATTTTCATAATGTCTAAGGTCCCTTAAGTTGACCTAGAGAAAATTGATCCAGAGAAAATTAGTCCAGAGAAATTCTCTGAGTTGAAAATGTTGAGAATAGATTAATGACAATTCTGGGAAGGAAATGATCATGAAGGGCAAAGCTTGCAATTCAACATTAGGGGCTAGTTTGGAGATGCAACATGACATAAAGGTTGACGATGGAAATAAGATAAATGACAAACTCTATATTGAAAAATCTTAATACCAGGGGCTAATCCAAAGAAATTTTCAATCCAAATCAAAGAAATTCTCTGGACCAACTCAGAGAAATTTCAGTTCAAACTAGAGAATTTCTCTGGACCAACCCAGAGAAATTTCAGTTCAAAGCAGAGGCCTGATCAAAACATTCTGTGAGAAACTCATTCTCTTTATAGAATTTTTGTATGCTGTCAAAGGAAAATTCAAGCAATTGAGATGGGTGTGGACTAGGAGGCTGTAGGTTGGGAAAAGGCTGAGGCAGAAACTTTGGCACTGAAAAATCATCTAGAATCTGTCACACTTTTGAAGCTTACTACTGAAGATCGAGCTTCGCATTTAAATGGTTCTTTAAAGGAATGCATGCGACAAATACGAAATTAAAAGGAAGAACATAAACAAAGATTGCATGAAGTTCTTCTTACCAAAACAAAGCAGTGCAATAGTGGTAGATCCAAGATGGCGGAGGTTTCTGACGACAGAGAAGGTGTGTCACCGGTGGTGCCAGAATTGAGTTACGGCGAGAATGGTGGCAATGCGGCGGCGGCGGGCCGTTAGCCGGCCAGAGAAAATTGATCCAGAGAAAATTAGTCCAGAGAAATTCTCTGAGTTGAAAATGTTGAGAATAGATTAATGACAATTCTGGGAAGGAAATGATCATGAAGGGCAAAGCTTGCAATTCAACATTAGGGGCTAGTTTAGAGATGCAACATGACATAGAGGTTGACAATGGAAATAAGATAAATGACAAACTCTATGTTGAAAAATCTTAATACCAGAGGCCAATCCAAAGAAATTTTTAATCAAAATTAAAGAAATTCTCTGGACCAACTCAGAGAAATTTCAGTTCAAACTAGAGAATTTCTCTGGACCAACCCAGAGAAATTTCAGTTCAAAGCAGAGGCCTGATCAAAACATTCTGTGAGAAACTCATTCTCTTTATAGAATTTTTGTATGCTGTCAAAGGAAAATTCAGGCAATTGGGATGGGTGTGGACTAAGAGGCTGTAGGTTGGGAAAAGGCTGAGGCAGAAGCTTTGGCACTGAAAAATCATCTAGAATCTGTCACACTTTTGAAGCTTACAGCTGAAGATCGAGCTTCGCATTTAAATGGTTCTTTAAAGGAATGCATGCGACAAATACGAAATTAAAAGGAAGAACATGAACAAAGATTGCATGAAGTTCTTCTTAACAAAACAAAGCAGTGCAATAGTGGTAGATCCAAGATGGCGGAGGTTTCCGACGACAGAGAAGGTGTGTCACCGGTGGTGTCGGAACTGAGTTACGGCGATAATGGTGGCAATGCGGCGGCGGCGGGCCGTTAACCGGCCGTTCGTCGTCATTTTCCTCAGCGGCAACAGCCTTTTGGAGCTCGCAGCGAACGCTACAATGGAGAGCCGATCAGAGGAGGAGAGGGAGTAGATTTGGACAGGTCTAAGAGAGAATGGAGAAGTTTAAAGAGAGAGAGAAAGAGAGAGAGAGATGAGTTTTGATTTGATAAGGTCAAACTTCTCTGTGATATGTTTAGGGACCTTAGACATCAAAAAAAAAATTTGTGGATCTCTTCCATTACGAAAAGTGGGAGAGGGACCCTAGACTAATTTTCTCAATTTTTAATTGCACACACATTCATTCGTTTTGAGTTTTTAAAAATAATTTTTAAGTTTTCAATTTATATTTTTTATTTTAGAATATTTTTTATTTTGTAAAGGTACTTAATTTGGATATACTTAAAAATAAAATTTTTGTAAAGAATTCTTAAAATAATTCAATAAATACAACAAAAAAAATGTGCTGAATTTTTAAATTTGTCTATAATTTTAGCTCTACTCAAAATAAAAAGACAAAATGGAGATTATTCATGATTTTAGTAGTAATGTATCTCCTTATTGAAGTTGATTTTTCTTCCGAATTTTGTTCAAATTCAATAGTAGTAATGCCTTAGTTTTCAATTTGGGTTCGATTTCTATTGTTATGCTATGCAACTTTTCATTCTCTATTTCTCTCTGTTATAAATAATAAAAAGAGGGTTTGGGTTGGGTTTGAAGTGATGTGTTAGAGAGGTGATGTGACTTAAATAAGATGATGTGACTTAAATAGGATAGTGACTTTTTGACTTTTTGTCTTTTTTCAATCTTGTCAAACTTGGCCTTAGTAGTAATGTATCTCCTTATTGAAGTTAATTTTTCTTCCGAATTTTGTTCAAATTCAATAGTAGTAATGCCTTAGTTTTCAATTTGGGTTCGATTTCTATTGTTATGCTATGCAACTTTTCATTCTCTATTTCTCTCTGTTATAAATAATAAAAAGAAAAAACTAGTACATATATATATATATATATATATTAATGATTAAATCTTCTCACATGGGTTGTAATTGAATCCTAGGCTGGGATGCTTTAGAATATATGAACCGGACTGTTTGTGTCTCTCTCTCTCTGGACATCTGGACTCTTCTCAGGCTCAATGAAACAAATTTTGTGGCCTGTTCACCATATTTGGGCTTATATTATGGAAATTTTAAAAATAAATAAATAAACTGGGCTTCTAGCCCTCAAAACTGAAAAATATGGGCCTTGATTTACTTCATTTTGCAACTTGCCGGTTAGATATGGTTAGATCCAAATTCATGTGACAGACCCAAATTCATGTGATAGAGATGATTGTAGCCTGTAGATACAAACTTTTCTAGGGACACATGCGAATCAGGCCTATTAATTGGATTTTATTTATCTAGAGAAAATTAGTCTAGATCTCTCTTCCATTTTTAGTAATGGAAGAGATTCACAATATTATTTTGTGATGTGTAAGGTCCCCTTACCCCTGACACACATATATCACAGAGAAATTTGGTTATCTCAAATCAAACCCGTCTCTCCCTCTCTTCATTTTCTTTCTGCTCTTCTCTCTTCAAAACTTGCCACTTTTCTTCTCTTTCTACAAAAACCCTAATTTACTCTCTCTTCTCACTCAACCTCTCTCTATATATATGCATATAGCAATTTTCAGGTATGAGCTTGAAGAACGTAGCAATGGAGGAAGCAGTGGAGCAAAAACACAAACAGCTTGAGTTCGCTATAGCCTCTGTCTCTCCGCTCTCTTCGTCTTCTTCTTCTTCTTCGGTGGATTCTGCTTCGCCAATTGTTGCTCGATTCAGCTTCGATTCTAAGGTTGCAGAACTTTAATTTTACTGAGAATCCGAATCGAATAAGGCTATTCATATCAATCTTCGAGCTGCTCAGGTTAACATTTCTCCTCGGAGAATTCAGCTTTGGTCTGTGTTTGGTTGCCTAGAAAAGAAAAAGGAAAAAGGAAAAATCTTCGAGCTTAATGTCTGTCATTTTAGATTCACTAACTGAAGTAGTGTTCGTGGAAAATTTGAAAAGTTTTTTTAATTTTAGTTTCTGTTAGCTTTCCTATACTTTCTCAACAACCAAACATTCCTTGACTTCTTTTGAGCAATCTTCTCCAAGTTCACCAAAATACTTCAATACATCTACCCAAAGGGTTGAATCACCTCTCTTACCTGAATATGTGTTTTTGTTTTTTTTGTGATCTTGAAAGTGAATTTCTCTGGACTTTTATTTGAGTCCAGAGAAAATTAATCTAAAGAAATTTGGTGTTGGTGATGTATAAAATTTTTTCTGTGATGTGTTTAGAGAAATTTGGTATTTGTGATATGTAAAAAAATTTCTGTGATGTGTCCAGAGAATTTTGGTATTGGAGATATGTAAAATTTCTCTGTGATGTGTCTAGAGAAATTTGGTGTTGGACATGCGTAAAATTTTCTCTGTGACGTGTTCAGAGAAATTTGGTGTTGGTGATGTGTAAATTTTTCTCTGTGATGTGTCTAAAGAAATTTGGTGTTGGAGATGTGTCAATTTTTCTCTGTAATGCGTCAAGAGAAATTTTTTCTATGATGTGTAAAATTTTCTCTGTGATGTGTCCAGAGAAAATTGGTGTCGAAGATGTGTAAAATTTTCTCTGGATTGAATTTTTTTTGGAAAGTCCAGAGAAATTATCTGGATCAAATTTTCTCTAGATCGATGTTGAGGAATCTTAGACATTATGAAAATATTGGGTGTCTTTTATGCTATAAAATCTTAATATCAGGGACCTTAAAAAAAATCTCCATTTATCTATACGTCTTGATTGATAAATTTATTATTGTAAATTTATTCATAGAAATAAGAGAAATTGTTAAAATAGGATTTAATAGGTAAGTCTCAAAAGTAGGATCTATTGGTAATTTATCCTATTTATTTATTATGGGCGTTTAGGACGTTGGTTATTTTAGTAAGTTATTTTAATTTTTGACTATTTTAGTAGTAATATTTGTATTTAAGAAATTTGTTATTTATTTATTTTTTTTTTTTGTATTTAGATGTAATATTTATGAGATAAAAAGTAAAATAATTATGGATTTGATATGACATTTTGGCTTCGTTTGGGATATGGGTTGATTTTTTGACTTTTTGACTATTTTAACTTTAGGCTAAAAAGTTTCGTTTGGGATGGACTCTTTGCCTTTTTTTACTTTTGTGAGAAAAAAAATGAAAG